GGGGGAGGGCCTTCGTTATTTGGGGGGAATCCCCCCCCCCCCCACCTGGCTGCTCAAAGCTGACCATACTAAACATGTTTTTTTTTCCCATCTATTTATTTAATGTGAATGACACGAAGGTAAACACTGGAGAAAACAGTGTTGAACAATGATTAAACTGCATTATGAACAACAAGGGCGTTAGTTACTGCGATAATGACTGCTTAACTAATGTGGGCACACAGCGCTGCACTCCACCCCCCCCCCACGGGGCTGCAGTAGCCGACATTGACACCCAATGTTTTTGCCGTAAAACACCAGCTGTAGTAGCTTCAAAAGAAGTACTGTGGTTTTCTGGGTATTTATCATGTTATTCAAATATTACTTTCTTCCATCCATCCATCCATCCATTTTCATCTTCTTATCTGTTACCAGGTCACATGGGGCAGCAGTCTCCATGACCGTCACCCAAATCACAAGAAAAAAGAATAATAGGTCTAAGGAATTTGGACAACGTTTAGAAGCTTCAGTTCAATTCAATTTGATACAAAGACATTTTTTTTTGCCTCTGAGAAGAAAAGCAACGTGACACATTTGCATTCACACATCAAGAAAAAATATGTTTCAGAAATGGTAGAAGAGAAGAGAAGATTATTTTAGTGGCACTAGTACAAACTGCAGTGGATTAATAGTGTAATTCCAGAAGTACCTGGATCCTTGTACAAATTCAAATTTTTTTTTTTTGGCAAACCCAGGATGTTTTTTTTTCCTTCCTTCAGCTTGATTTACCTATCTTTTGTCAGAAGGCCTTCAGAAGGCCTTCAGACTAAAGTTGAGGCTCTAACCCTTACCCTAACCCGATAATTCAGCTGTATTCCAAAGCCTTCGCACCATTGTCTTGGTTACGTGCTTTGGGCTCTAAGGTGGGTTAAGCCTCCACCTATTTTCAGATATTATAGACTGAACTCTTACTATTTGCTCATATTGATCCCAGCTCTCTACCTCTGACAATCTGAAATCCCAGGATGCTGCTGCCTTGACTCATCACGGCACTGGTGATTCGTCCGTGTGAGCAGCGAGACCGAGCGTCCTCCAGACGGGCATTTGGAGTTCAGCCCGAAAGTGTCCATTTCTAGTTTCTTCAGACCACACAATATTGAGCCTCATGCTCTCATAGTCATTTAAGATGGCATTTGGAAGAAAAAAAAAAAACTTAAAAAAAAATAAAAAAATCTGTCATATGCTCACTTACTCAAAGTAGCTCCCATTAGGCTGTTGTGACATAAGGAACTGAGTGATGGAGTGTGCTGGAGATGATGTCGCCTGGTTAATCAGTTCAATCAGGCAGACGGCTCCAAAAAGCCACATTTCAGATGATCATACTGTCACCGAAAAAAATGATAGGATATGACAAAAAGTTCAAGCTTGAGATGGACGGATAGAAGATAGATAGAACTAGGAATGGCTAGGCTAGGCTAATAGGGCTGGTAATATCGGCCAACCGATATTATCGGCTAACCCGATATAAGCATAAATTTTAATATCTGTAAGAATCGTTATCGGGGTGAAAAAAAAAGTTCTAGCAGGCGGTATGGCTTTAACCAATCACCTTCGTGAGCAGGCAAAACTTAACTTCCTTAACCACCAGGCCAACACTGCCGCGCTATATCGGTATCGGTTGATATCGCAAGTAGAAATTATCAATATCGGCATATCGGATATTCAGCAAAAGTTATTAATGGACATCCCTAGATAGAACTTTATTAATCACTCAGAAGTTCCCTTAGAGAAAATTAGATTGTTTTTGGTGAGGACATGAGCTGGAGACAGATGGTGAAAACATTGGACAAAGGATGTTGGGGATGGATCTGCTGGGCAGGACAGAAAAAGGAGGAGCCCAGAGAAGAGTCACGGATGTCATGACCAAGGATGTTGGTGTAACAGTAGAGCGGATACAGTAGGAGGTGGAGGGAGAGTGGGACGGAGTTTTCCTCCCACAGGGTAAAACTAAATGAAGAAGAACCCAGAATCACTCAGCCTCTGGTGATCGAGAGCGGAGACCGAGTTTGACGACGGCAGCAGAAATAAATTAAAGCGACATCAAAAATCCTTTCCTGTGTAAAATTTTAAAAAAAGTTACATCACTCTCACATTTATGATACAATTTATCTTTAGCCGTGATTGCGAAAGAGCAGTTCAGTTTACGGTGATATTCACTGGGACCCTGTCACTGACTGGCCCATTATGGTTACTTACTGCAGAGCAATGAAGGTTGACTAGTAAACGTTTAATTTAATTTGGTTCTCCAGATACAAATCTGCTGCTCTGCTGCAGTAAAGAAACAACAAAAGGTTAAACGCTCCACATTTATTGAGATGAAAATTAAACTAACAATGGGAACCATGTCGTGAAGAGCAACTAAGTAGTAAATTGTTTACTGTTGCAGTTTGGTTTTTTATTTTCTCAGTAGGAAACAAATGTACGGAGCAGTGATTGGCAGCTTTACTGGGTCAGTGAACGTGGTTCTTTATAGGATTCATCTGATGATGTAACGGTGGACAGATTACCAACTGTTTATAGTACGCCACGTAGCCTACGCCTGCTAGGAGTTTTTAAATAACTTAATTGTCAGAGTGAAATTATTAGTAAAAGTAGAGTAGTAGAGTAGTATCAATATGAAATACACTGTACAGCAGGAGTTCAACCCCTGGTTCGGGGACCAGTGCCGGCCCGTCATTTGGTACTGGGCCGCAGTGGGACACAGTGAAAAATGTACTTCAGTATTCAAATATACTTAATAATAATTAGGTGAATTTTTTTTTAATCAGTAATAAAAATGTTACATTATTATACACTTAAATACAATTACATTTGAATAGTAATTGAATCTCAAGTGGTGCAACTGTTGCCTTCTTCAGCCCCGAATCCATCTGCAGACTCCTGTTTTCTACCACGTCAGGAGTTGATGTTAGCTGACAGTCTGCCAAGTGACGGCAATATTTTTGTGGAGGACAGAAACAACGGGCAAAAAGCCAACGGCAGATTTGACTAATTTCTTGTTTTACATCATCGAGTGATGTAATGTTTTTTTACAGCTCAAACATTAACAGTTTGAGGAGGTTTGCCAAAGAACACAGGATCATAATGAACTGTATCACAATATCTGACAGTGGTGAGACACTGTGAAGACTTAATCCTCTACTGAGTCTTAATTGTACGAAGCCAAAAGAAAATAACTAAACACTGTTCAAAACAAAGTAGCACCAGAGCATCACATTACATCGCACACAACAATGGCAGCAACCACAAACCACCAGGGACTATCATGTTGTTTGCTGGCCCAGTTCTCAGTTTGTAAACTTTTTTATCCCTTGTACAGCTGGGTTTCAAACAATGACTCACACAGCTCACTCCTGACTCCTGTTTTGTTTTTGCTGGCTCCATAAACACACACTGAAAAACTACGGCGCCGTCTGTCGTCTTATAATCCTCCAAACTGTTCGCTTTTAAAAAAAATATGACGTCCCTGTCCGTTCCCCTCAGACGCAGTGGACGTGAGATCCAGTCATGAGTGGTCACGGGAGATGCCTTTGTTTTTTTTGTTTTTTTTTCTTCAAACAAATATAGTCAAGCAAGTCGGCCGACGCAGGCAATAGACTTCACACCGAAGTAGACGTAGCTTTGCTTTGACAGCCTTCACATGAAGTGTTTACGCAGCATCATTTTACAGTTCTACTGTTGGTCGTATTTTAATTCAAGCTACAAAAGATGTCAAATTAAGGCACTTACATTTCCCCCAGACATTATTCTGTGCGTGTACTGCTGACTCACTCAGGAATCTTCCAGGCTTTTATCTGTCTTAAGCAGCATTTGCTGGCAGTTTTACAGAGTCTGGTCAACAAACACGGCCCTGCCACTGGATCACAAAGAACTTTTCAATAATCAACGT